TGTATCCATAATTTTAATGTAGTTCCTTCTCAAAGGTCTTTGTAGGAAGTAAAGCCTATGAAGATGCTCACCTGTGAATAAGGCAACAATTTTCATTCATCCGTTCGTTCATTGAAAGTAAAATTTTTACAGAAATCCAAAATGGTAGTTTCAATTTCAAAGTAAGTACTCTATTGTGTTCAAACGAAAAGCTCATGCAAATGTATAGAATAAATACCCAGAAGTAGGTATGATTAGTATAATTAATGTCATAAATTTCATTTACAATCATCATTCGGTGACATGTACCTGTACTACAGTGGGCATTGACCAAAACAAGTTTCAAACTTTTTTATTGTACTTATAAGCTAAACACCTATGTGTATGTGTGTGTGTGTGTATAGGTGTATATACATATACTTTGAGACTAGCAAAGAGATAGTCAAGTTTGGCCTTTCTCAGAACTAACGGACTCGGGTTAAAAATTCAATCAGGTCTTTTTTTAGCACCCGAAAAAATTTGCGTTCTTGTACAAAAGTTTGTTCAGCATTTTTACAAGGGATAGGTATCTGTGTGAGTAAAATTTAATGGTATTACAAAAAACTATATTTTATAACATTTGAGAACTATTCCTATGCATAATTGCTGTATTCGATTTACATATAGAAGTGACCAACAAAAAAGAAGTTCTAGAAATGTTAAAAATTTAAATGACTCTATAATAATTTTGGTCAGCTATGTCTCTCACAAATGCACAGGTGTGTCTTCGTTTGTCCATTCCTCTATCTGTTAATTACCTCATACTGGTAAATACCATCCCTCACTCCCTTATTTTCGATACTAGGAGACGTAAAACTTTAAAACAATTCAAACATTTGTACCACTTTCGAAAACAGAAAGAAAATACCAACATGATAAGGTGTTCCAATAGTATTAAGAATGAGCAGTATTTTCCCATGTATTCAGATGTTAAAATGTAAAACACCTTTAATAATTTTTCGTTAATAAGTAGTGCCTACGCAACCATTTACGACAAAAAACTCATTTACCAGTGAAATTGATCAATAACACTTTTTTATAATGATGAGCCGATAGAAATAATAGCATTTTAAACAGAACATTTAAACCAGCAATGGGCTTACATATAACTCGTTGACTATTACGCTGTATGGTATAGCGAGAGCGTTCTTTTTAACTTATTACGTTTAACTAGCAGATGACAAGCAAAGCAAAAGAATCCTCTTCGTGCTGAAGTTGGTAACCTTGGCTTTCCTGTTTCTTCCTAATTTGGTTCGTGGGAATTACATATAGCCAAGGGTGCATTCTACAGAGGAAGATAAAAAGGACAGTAATCCTGCAAAAGCAGCTCGCTGATGGCAATAACTTTGTTGTCTGGAATGTACTACTTACTTAACCGATCCATTATCCACTTCCCGTGGCGTTACACAAGAAATTGTGCTTAATATTCAAATAATTCAAACTAACACACAATTACATATATATATTAAAAAGGATTATTCGATAAATTGGTGTCATTCCTAGACATTTGCAGCAAGTACAACTTGTTGTTGTCAAACATGAAAGTTAAGAAGAAAATCCTGATGATCAGTGAGCGAGAGCAAGGATCCATAACAAAAGTAGACTTTTAGTATTAATTCTGCTCACAGATCAAGTAAAAACTAGGAAAAACTGAAAATAATAACGGTTTAATGATCTCTATTAGTTTGATGTATTTCTTATGCGTATCTTTGCGATTCCAGCAATTGTTTGAAAATTGATCTAAAGACTATCAGCAAAACACATCAGTTGTGTTGATCTCCTTCAGATTTCTATGGATCCTGTGGGGTAGGGTATGGTTTAAAGGATTACATACGAAGATACTGTAGGAAAAATTTTGGAAGAAAGTGTGATTCATCAATTTGCAAATGTAAAAGCTGCCTGTGCGCGAATTCGTTATTACGAAGACGGTCAAAGACCTCTGATGTCATCAAATCAAGACACCGTGTATGTGTAGACAGAGCTACAAGACTTCCAAAATATTTCCCCACCTCGCAAAAACGGTCAAGCACTTGGTTATACTTTTTATTAGCGGCAATTTAGCTTTCGATCTTATGCGTGAATGAATTCGTTTCGCTGTTAAATTCATACATCCGCAGAAAGCTTTGATCATGAGAGAGGACCGATCTTTCAGGAGCAAGTTTTTCTGCTTTTCCAATTCCATTACAAAAGACAACCATTAATAAGATATTATCGCGAGTAATGCGTAAAAATAGAACCATATGATTCAATATCCTTCTAGTGAAAACTTTTATCGTCATAATTACCGGATTGTCAGTCCTAAGACTAGTTGGAGACGCATCTCCACTCTCCCTATCCTGAGCTAATCTTCGCATTTCCCTAACACTAGAACATCCCACATTTTTAACTATTGGCGAACAGTAATCAAGGTCTATCTCTACTCTTCTTGACTCCTATTTTATCTTTTAATATACCTCTGACACTGTTCATGTCTAAGAAGGTGTCCTACTAACCTATCTCGCCTATTTTTTATTGACTTCCATAGAATTCCTTTATTCTCCTATTCTCTCTAATACCTCTTCATTTCTAACCTTCTCTGTCCATGGTATCCTCATAACACCACATTTCGAACGCTTCTAACCTTTTCCTCCGCGCTCACCGTCCATGTTTCGCACCCGTACAGCGCCGCGCTCCCAAATATACACCTTTAACAATCTTTTTCGAATTTCTACATTAATCGGTCGCGTTATCCTCTGCTTTACATCCTTACTAGTCCTTCCGTCCTGACTTATCTAACTTCCTTGATACTTAAAATCCGCCATTTCTTCTAATCTTTCGTCTCCTATCTTTACATTCGCTCTTTCCCTACTTTTTCTTCCCTTGTATAGTAGTATTTTTGTTTTACTTTTATTTATTTTCATATAGTACTGTTTTGACAAAATCGCTTCCATTTTATTTAAAGCTATTTCCAACTCCCCCTTGCTTTTATATTCAGTACTAAAAATTTTGTATTTGCCGTTCAATTCTCAAGATAACAGTTCGAGGGGAATAAGTTATACTTACTGAAGTCTGTTCGATAAAGGCAATAATATCCGCAATACGTAAATCGGTCTGTCTGTAAAGAAAACTCAAAAGCGTCACCCTACATCCGTTCTTCCACGAAAAGGAGCACAAGTCTCGATTGTACACTGAATTGTTACAATGCGTACGATGCATTACATAAACCCCATTCATAAATACATAATCGTATATAATATGACATACATTACATATTACTTGGTGTATGATGCATTATCGACCAGCAGACTTATCACAGCTGCTTTTGGATAAGGACATTCGATATACTTACACACTTCCTTTGCAACTGTAGGTTTTTCCGAAAACTTATGGTACAAAAACAGATTGAATACTACACATAAAAACTTGTAACTGCCATATGAGTATTATTATATCATCTCTTACGAAATAATCAGCGGAAATTTGTTCATAGGGACTGGGAAAGTCCAGAACGCAAGGTTTTGTAAGTAAACGTTAATAGAAATACTTAATTATTATGTGACATCTGACTTCTGTACTCATCCCTATCCCCCTATTCTATACTCATCTCTATCCCCCACCCCCCTACATTATAAAACTAGCTCATTCGCAAAATAGTAACCTACTCCTGTATTGCAGTCATTTCATAGAATTAAATGCATATTCTGCAGCTCGCGTGTTCTTCAAAAATCCAGGTATCTTCTTAAAAATCTTCCAGTCTTCACCTTGTAGTGAGTGATTTTGGTGCACATGCAAAATTGTGAGGACTTCCGAGTAGTTAGAGACAAAAAACGAAAAGTAACTAGAAATCTAGAAGGCAAGTCTGCCAATAAGTCCAATTGAGAAACTAAATGAAGCTTAGCTAACCTGTCAACAGGGAAGCGATCTCGGTAAGATCATTAGTAACTATCGCAAGCCTCGACGGGCATCAGAAAGTTTAGGGACCGCAGGATATTGGTGCACCACCCGTATCCCAAAGACTTACAATTAGTGTATGGACAGTGAAAGATAAAAGCGAGAAAGGAAATAAAGTGGAGTGAAGTGAGTAACCTGTCCTAAACTAAGGGGTTACTCATCTTGTTAACCCTCTTTATCTTTAAACTGACTCCGTTGGGGGTCAATCCGTCTGACGGAGAGGACCCTGAAAATCTGTCTACCATCCAGACACAATGTACAGAGTTTGACGTGTGGATAAGTCTTATAAGGCTGCATGCTAAATATCCATCTAGTGCCTATCCAAAATGTTATCCCATGTACCAATTGCCTAACCTAATTACAATTTATAGGTAGATATAATTGGATATCCCTAAGTACCTTAAACATTTACAGGTTTGCTACTATTAGCTCTTATTAATAGCTAATTAGTCAAGTGATTTAGTACATACATGGNTCTAGTCAGAGACATATTAGAGGCAGAAACAGGAGTTAGGAGGGGTAGAGGTAGACCTAGATTAGATTACTGTTCGCAAATAGTTAAGGATGTGGGCTGTTCTAGTTTTAGGGAAATGCGAAGTTTAGCTCAGGATAGGAAAGCATGGAGGTACGTGTCCAACCAGTCTTAGGACTGACAACCTTATGATGATGACGATGAATGTTAAATGGGTGATGTAAAAAATATTTAAGGATGTAGGGATGATATTTAAGGACAGAAGAGTTAGAAATCGTTATGGAATTTGAGCAGCATTGTAGAGAAGTAAATATTAGGGATGGAACAAATTGATAAAGACTCTTTTAGTCAGTTGGGAAACTGGTACTGTCCTGATTAGAATCTAAAGGCAGTCTTCTGTTGGAGTGGAAACAATTCCAACCAACAACGGCTTTAGACCCGAATCAGGTCAGCACTAGTTCATATGAACGTTTCTTATCAAATTTTCCTTCGGAAAACTCCAGACGCGACTCTTCAGAATAAAAACAAAGAAAATACAGATTAGGAGGGTTGCTAGTTACTGTTACAGTGAATTGCTTACCTGTTCAATCGACGTGATTTCGTGCAACATTTTAAGTAGGTCTGTCAAATTTCTTCCGCTTTTTGCCATCCACCCCAAACCGCACAGGGCCGATACCACACTTCCACACGCTATCATACTTGGAAGGTACCTCGTAAACTCGAATTCTGTAACAATGAAAATTATACAATGTAAAATAATAAAATTCTGATATCCAAGAACTCTATTGAAACATAAGAATCTATGTTTAATAAAAAACATATACAAATACACTATATAACAAATTCCAGTCAAAAATCTTAGTCTTTTTATACGTCACTCTCTTCGGACGCCTATCAGGTTACCATATTTAAGCGTTTTTAATTATTATCTAATAAAATTATACTTAGCAATTCAAAATTTGCACAACCCCTTTGCAACAACTAAAGTGAATATTCGAATAAAGCAGCATCTCTTAGTCTTAGTCTAGCAGTCTTGCTCTTACAAAATGTAACAAGACTAGAAGTATTTAAGGTTTTGCATTGTTCATCATTAACTAAATATCGCAACATCAACACCGAAGTATCAATTTTCAAGAATAACATGGATAGATATCGTTTCCATAAGCGAAGGTTCTGTTTGTTCAAAGTATAGGGTGGTCTAGTACCAAAAATTGATATGCTGTTCACATTATACGGAGTTTCCGTTATGCAATATTCGCACTCCTGTAGTATAGAATTTTGTAATGGTCGATTGAGGCAATTTTTACTTTGTGCATTTTAGCTGGTTTCGTTCCTCGGCAATTTGAATGCAACTAGGTATTAAAGAACTTGCGAAAAGACGGTCGTCTGGGCAACGCAAAAAATCAAAGGGGGTTCGCCACATAATTATAACACCCAAAAACAACCAAAATCGAAGCGGCGGCCCATCGGCCGACACAGAGTTGTGCATGCAAGGCTAAAGACAAAATTAGTTTTAAATTACTAGTGTGCGTTTTGCCGTCTTGAAAGACAAGATCTGAACGTGATGAAAGTACCTGTTGAAGCTGCAGCCAGCATTCATTCTTAATATGTATGTGGTAGGTAGTTGATGGATGCTGTACCATCTCTCAAAAATCCAATCCAACACGTACGTGACCTTTCCTTGCACACTCTAAATAAACAATTAACAATCATTTCCAAATTTTACCCTATTTATAGTTAGCAGCCATCAGGAACAGATGAGGTAACAAAGTACACTATTCATTGTCAGTAATGTTTGATTTCGAGAAATAAATTCTAGTACCTACACACTTGAAATATATTCTATCTCTAAATAAATTTTAAAAATTTAGGAACTTTAGTTTTATCCTGATAATCTTGCGAACAAATTTATCAAATTATTAAATTTTTTCGGTGATCTTCGACACGTACTTAAAATGAATTATTAATAGAAGAATATTGTTCCAGACTGTCCTAGACCCTGAAAATTAGCACTTTAATAGTTTAAAGCAGCTAATTGCTAAAAGTTTTCGGTTGTTTCATTCTTTGGCATTCTCTATCACTTTATTTTCGTTTTCCCTAATTTCCTGTATTGGCACAATTAATATTTAACTTTTTAATATTATTGGTAGTGTTCTTCATTAACTAAAACCACACAGTCAACCATTTGCATTATTACGTTAGAGCGTAATCATCAGTACGAATAATAAGTTACGAAAAATTCTGACTGGTTTCCACAATTGGTCATTTAAATGCTATTTAGTTTGCTGCTTGCAACATCCTAGGCCTAGACAGTAATAAGACAGACAACTCCATATTGTCTTTTTGAGTTTATTGACCTATCCTACAATAAATTATATGTCTTCGAATGACGTGTGCATAATTTACAATTCACACAATACAGTTGACACCTACTTGTATCCATAATTTTAATGTAGTTCCTTCTCAAAGGTCTTTGTAGGAAGTAAAGCCTATGAAGATGCTCACCTGTGAATAAGGCAACAATTTTCATTCATCCGTTCGTTCATTGAAAGTAAAATTTTTACAGAAATCCAAAATGGTAGTTTCAATTTCAAAGTAAGTACTCTATTGTGTTCAAACGAAAAGCTCATGCAAATGTATAGAATAAATACCCAGAAGTAGGTATGATTAGTATAATTAATGTCATAAATTTCATTTACAATCATCATTCGGTGACATGTACCTGTACTACAGTGGGCATTGACCAAAACAAGTTTCAAACTTTTTTATTGTACTTATAAGCTAAACACCTATGTGTATGTGTGTGTGTGTGTATAGGTGTATATACATATACTTTGAGACTAGCAAAGAGATAGTCAAGTTTGGCCTTTCTCAGAACTAACGGACTCGGGTTAAAAATTCAATCAGGTCTTTTTTTAGCACCCGAAAAAATTTGCGTTCTTGTACAAAAGTTTGTTCAGCATTTTTACAAGGGATAGGTATCTGTGTGAGTAAAATTTAATGGTATTACAAAAAACTATATTTTATAACATTTGAGAACTATTCCTATGCATAATTGCTGTATTCGATTTACATATAGAAGTGACCAACAAAAAAGAAGTTCTAGAAATGTTAAAAATTTAAATGACTATAATAATTTTGGTCAGCTATGTCTCTCACAAATGCACAGGTGTGTCTTCGTTTGTCCATTCCTCTATCTGTTAATTACCTCATACTGGTAAATACCATCCCTCACTCCCTTATTTTCGATACTAGGAGACGTAAAACTTTAAAACAATTCAAACATTTGTACCACTTTCGAAAACAGAAAGAAAATACCAACATGATAAGGTGTTCCAATAGTATTAAGAATGAGCAGTATTTTCCCATGTATTCAGATGTTAAAATGTAAAACACCTTTAATAATTTTTCGTTAATAAGTAGTGCCTACGCAACCATTTACGACAAAAAACTCATTTACCAGTGAAATTGATCAATAACACTTTTTTATAATGATGAGCCGATAGAAATAATAGCATTTTAAACAGAACATTTAAACCAGCAATGGGCTTACATATAACTCGTTGACTATTACGCTGTATGGTATAGCGAGAGCGTTCTTTTTAACTTATTACGTTTAACTAGCAGATGACAAGCAAAGCAAAAGAATCCTCTTCGTGCTGAAGTTGGTAACCTTGGCTTTCCTGTTTCTTCCTAATTTGGTTCGTGGGAATTACATATAGCCAAGGGTGCATTCTACAGAGGAAGATAAAAAGGACAGTAATCCTGCAAAAGCAGCTCGCTGATGGCAATAACTTTGTTGTCTGGAATGTACTACTTACTTAACCGATCCATTATCCACTTCCCGTGGCGTTACACAAGAAATTGTGCTTAATATTCAAATAATTCAAACTAACACACAATTACATATATATATTAAAAAGGATTATTCGATAAATTGGTGTCATTCCTAGACATTTGCAGCAAGTACAACTTGTTGTTGTCAAACATGAAAGTTAAGAAGAAAATCCTGATGATCAGTGAGCGAGAGCAAGGATCCATAACAAAAGTAGACTTTTAGTATTAATTCTGCTCACAGATCAAGTAAAAACTAGGAAAAACTGAAAATAATAACGGTTTAATGATCTCTATTAGTTTGATGTATTTCTTATGCGTATCTTTGCGATTCCAGCAATTGTTTGAAAATTGATCTAAAGACTATCAGCAAAACACATCAGTTGTGTTGATCTCCTTCAGATTTCTATGGATCCTGTGGGGTAGGGTATGGTTTAAAGGATTACATACGAAGATACTGTAGGAAAAATTTTGGAAGAAAGTGTGATTCATCAATTTGCAAATGTAAAAGCTGCCTGTGCGCGAATTCGTTATTACGAAGACGGTCAAAGACCTCTGATGTCATCAAATCAAGACACCGTGTATGTGTAGACAGAGCTACAAGACTTCCAAAATATTTCCCCACCTCGCAAAAACGGTCAAGCACTTGGTTATACTTTTTATTAGCGGCAATTTAGCTTTCGATCTTATGCGTGAATGAATTCGTTTCGCTGTTAAATTCATACATCCGCAGAAAGCTTTGATCATGAGAGAGGACCGATCTTCCAGGAGCAAGTTTTTCTGCTTTTCCAATTCCATTACAAAAGACAACCATTAATAAGATATTATCGCGAGTAATGCGTAAAAATAGAACCATATGATTCAAAATCCTTCTAGTGAAAACTTTTATCGTCATCATTACAGGATTGTCAGTCCTAAAACTGGTTGGACATGCACCTCCACTCTCCCTCTCCTGAGCTAATCTTCGCATTTCCCTAACACTAGAACATCCCACATTTTTAACTATTTGCGAACAGTAATCCAGGTCTATCTCTACTCCTCTTAACTCCTATTTTATCTTTTAATATACCTCTGACACTCTTCATGTCTAAGAAGGTGTCCTACCAACCTATCTCGCCTATTTTTTATTGACTTCCATAGACTTCCTTTATTCTCCTATTCTCTCTAATACCTCTTCATTTCTAACCTTCTCTGTCCATGGTATCCTCATAACACCACATTTCGAACGCTTCTAACCTTTTCCTCCGCGCTCACCGTCCATGTTTCGCACCCGTACAGCGCCGCGCTCCCAAATATACACCTTTAACAATCTTTTTCGAATTTCTACATTAATCGGTCGCGTTATCCTCTGCTTTACTTCCTTACTACTCCTTCCGTCCTGACTTATCTAACTTCCTTGATACTTAAAATCCGCCATTTCTTCTAATCTTTCGTCTCCTATCTTTACATTCGCTCTTTCCCTACTTTTTCTTCCCTTGTATAGTAGTATTTTTGTTTTACTTTTATTTATTTTCATATAGTACTGTTTTGACAAAATCGCTTCCATTTTATTTAAAGCTATTTCCAACTCCCCCTTGCTTTTATATTCAGTACTAAAAATTTTGTATTTGCCGTTCAATTCTCAAGATAACAGTTCGAGGGGAATAAGTTATACTTACTGAAGTCTGTTCGATAAAGGCAATAATATCCGCAATACGTAAATCGGTCTGTCTGTAAAGAAAACTCAAAAGCGTCACCCTACATCCGTTCTTCCACGAAAAGGAGCACAAGTCTCGATTGTACACTGAATTGTTACAATGCGTACGATGCATTACATAAACCCCATTCATAAATACATAATCGTATATAATATGACATACATTACATATTACTTGGTGTATGATGCATTATCG